CCCCCCCCCCCTTTTAGCTCTGAGCAGAGGATCCCCAAAGAATATCCTCTACCGTTCCCCTCTGGGACCTAGCCCAGCACTTTCTTCTGACATTCTCATCTGCCTCCTATCTTGGTGTGTCCCCATCCTACCCTCCTCAGGAGCCAGGGGAGGCAAAGCAAAGCTTCTGGGAAAACCTGTGCAGATGCCCTCTCTCAACTGGCCAGAAGCCCTGCCACCACCTCCCCCTTCCTGTGAACTGAGCTGCCTCGAGGGGCCTGAGGAGGAGCTGGAGGGCGGGTAAGGATGTGCCCTGCTGCGGATGCCCTATACAGATGGGACTGCAGGGCCTCCTGCAGGGGGAGGGCAGAGGTGCTGGGAGAGGAAGGGAAGAGGGCGACTGGAAGGCCAAGGGGAAGGTATGGAAGCTACTCAGTCACCCCTGTTTGCCCCCAGCTCAGAGCCAGAAGAGTGGTGTCCACCAATGCCTGAGAGGAGCCACCTGGCAGAGCCCAGCTCCAGTGGAGGGTGCTTGGTCCCTCCGTCCCAAGGGGAAGCCCCCTCTCCCACATCTTCCTATGGACAGCAGTCCACCGCCACTCTTACCCCCTCACCTCCTGACCCTCCCCAGCCCCCCACTGACATCCCCCATCTCCACCAGATGCCCAGGTAGGGAGGTATATGATGCCTTGCAGATTATAGGCCCTGGGTACATATCTATGGAGTGGAGGACTGGATGGATAGATGAATGGATGGATGGATGGATGGATGGATGAATCTGGGACGCAGAGGTCTCATGGCCATGTCACAGTGGAAGTGTGATTTGGGAAGGAACGTGGAGGCTGACAAGGTCTCTCACTCCCTTCAGACTGTTTCTCCATTGGACTGGTTCTGCAAGCTTCTCGGGCATTTCAAAGACATGGCTTTCCTCATACTTCACTAGCTGGGGAGCCTTGTTGGGGGCAGGCTGTGCCTTATTCGTCTGAGTGTCTAGCACATGGTAGGCACTTAGCGTTTGTCACGTGAACAAATGCTGAGGCCTCATGTCATTGCAGGAGGGTGCCCCTTGGTCCAAGTTCCCCTCTCAGTGTATCCCAGCCCACTCTGAGTAGCCATGAAGGGAGGCCTGCTGGCCTGGGTGCTGGACCCACAGCCTCCTATCACCTCAGCCCCAGCCCTGTCCCGAGTACAGCCAGCAGTGCCCCAGGTGAGTCTGCAGAAGCCTTAACCTGCTCCTACTTCTCCATACCCTTCGGAAGCTTCTTTCTTCTTCATCCTCAAGCCTGTTTCCTGATCCTCTGTCTCACCTGCTCTTCCTGTCCCCTAATGCTACAGGGAGAACCCGGCAGGTCCCTGGGGAGATGACTCCTCCACTTCAAGCGCCCCGTGCCCGAATCCGGAAACCCAAGGCTGTTCCCTACCGACGGGAGCACAGTCCTGGGGGTGAGGGTGCCAGGGGCCTGAGAGATGGTGAAAGGAGGGGGAACAGGCAGGAAACCAAGGGTGAGCTCTGCTTGGGGGGGGTGGTGCTGGAGGAGGAAGCAGGTGCACCCAAATCTTGGGCTGTTCAGTCGCAGCCTCCTGGTGCCAGGGAGTAGGAGTGGGAGGAAGACTGGTATCAGGAGGAGCGGGAGACTCTGCTGAAAACAGGTCTCTCCCCAGACTTGCCCCCGCCGCCCTTGCCGCCACCAGAGGAAGAGGCAAGCTGGGCCGTAGGGCTGAGGGCAGCAGGCAGCATGTCCTCCTTGGAACGGGAACGGGAACGCAGTGGAGAGAGGAGAATGGTGCAGGCCGGGCCCTTGGGGGCCCAGCGGGGTCCCCACCTGGATGGTAAGGAGGGCCAGGAAAGGCCAGAAGGTCATCCCTACCCAAGAAGGTGGGACTGGCGGCTAGTGTAGTACAGCCATGAAGGACTAATGTTCACCCAGCTCACCCCTCGTCTTCAGCGGGGTTCATGCACTTGATCAAATCCTACACATGTCTCTGTAGCTCTCTCTGGGAAAGATCCCCAGAAGTTGCCAAGTTGTATAGTTTCCCAGGACTGAAGCCCAGAAGAGGCAAGAGTGGGGCTCCGTGTTCTGTCCCTCCTTTCCCAAGGCTCCCTCTGCCCGGGAGCTCCCTCTGGGTGTCTGAGCAGGTGCTACGTCAAGGCCATGTGCTGGGTGTTCTGTGTCTCCTCAGCCCCCAGAAGGGCCTGGGCCCTATGCCTGCCCTCCACCCTCCTTCCAGATCTGGGATTGCAGTCAAGGTGGCACAGTGGGCAAACAGTGACCTTCTGCTCTCTGCCCGGGGCCTGGTGGCCCTTCTCTCTTGTGCTGCAGAAGAGGCCTGGCTCCCTTACAGCCGACCCAGCTTCCTGTCCCGGGGCCAGGGCACCAGCACCTGTTCCACAGCTGGCAGCAACTCCTCCAGAGGCTCCAGCAGCTCCCGAGGCTCCCGGGGCCCTGGACGGAGCCGGAGCCGGAGCCGGAGCCAAAGACCAGGACGGAAACGCGGAGAGGTGGGGGCTGGGGTAGGCAAACTATGGGAGATGAGAAGACGAGGAGGGGCGAGCCAAGGGATGATTGGAAACAGGAAAGGAGAGAAGGGCTTTCTGAGCAAGTGTCAAAAAGGAGGGGACCCAGTGGGTGAGGGGGAAGGGAGGGATCCTGGAGAACAGGTGACAAAGGGTGAGGACAAGGTGATATGTGGAGGAGCCTGGGCTCCCCAGAGGAGAGTGGGTTCAGGAGGAGGGCTGAGGAGAAAAGAGGCACGTCCCCCCCTATAGCCTGTTTGCCAGGGCCTAGGGCCTTGCAAACTAGCCTCTTTCTCTCTCTAGGAACCAAAATGACCCTGGATGAGGATATCAGGAGTTCCACGGGGAAGGGCTTGTCCCTGGGCCGGGAGCCTTGGATGGGAGCCCCTCCCCCTGGTAAATGGGTGTGAGCAGAGAGGAGCAGGGGGGGCCCTCTTCCCTCCCAGCAATGATGCTTAAAAGCCAGAGAGCCAGCTCTTCCTACCTGAAACTTTCCACCTCTTTCTACCTGAAACTCATGTGTAAAAGGGACAAATAAAAAGAGTCTGTTCAGAGCTCTGGGCCCTGCTTGTCTGGTTTCATGCGGGGCATGGGGAAGAAAGACTGCGAGACAGTGTAGATCAAGGCACTCGCTTGAAACTCTTCTGTCAAAAGCACCAGCTGAGGACAGGGGCTAAGAGATGCTGGCCTGGCCTGCCTCCTGAAGGAGCTGAAACTTGTCCCACCTTCAGATAACTAAGCCAGGCTCTCCCTTGGCGCCCTCCTCTGTGGTCTATCTCCTCTCTAGGGAGAAATATGCCCCTAACAATAATAATACAAAAAAAGGAATTGGGGCACCTTGGTGGCTCAGTCGGTTAGGCGTCCAACTTTGGGTCAGGTCATGATCTCATGGTTCGTGGGTTCGAGTCCTGCATCAGGCTCTGTGCTGATAGCTTAAAGCCTGAAGCCCGCTTCAGATTCTGTGTCTCCCTCTCTATCTGCCCCTCCCCCACTCACACTCTGTCTGTCACTCTCTCAAAAATAAATAAACATTAAAAAAAAATTGAAAAAATAATAGAAAGGAGTTGATGGGGGAAACCCCAGCCAAGAAGGGAAAACAGGCTTTTGTCAGGCTCCCTGACCCTGAATGTGTGCAAACAGATACCTCCTGGCCAGGCGAGACCCCAATGTGATGGGTTTGGCTGACACAGGATTTTTTAAAATATTGGCCCCGAATGCCATAGTGACCATTGCTCCCCCACCCACAGCCCATGCCACTCACTGGTTTTCTGTGGTTTGTTTCCTTCTCATTTTTTCACCCCCAGGCTCAGGAACTGCTCTGGGCTCTCAGGGGATGGCCACTACTCCCCACCCCCACCCCAAGCCCAGGCCTCTGACCTCTCCTGCCACTTTGACCTAAGTGTGCACAAATCCCTTTTTCTCCTTTGGTCTGGCAAACAGGGTTGGAATGTTTTCAAAAGGAATTTTACCAGGAAACTAAAAGAAAAACAAAATCCAAAAAAGGAAAAGCAAATAGAGAGGAACGGATATGTATCCGGAGCACTGATTTCTCATCCTGAGATTATGACATTCCAGACCAGACTGGCCGGTTTAAGGTAGTTCAGGCAGCACCGTGTCCCCCAGGCCCGGCCTCACGCAGCCTCTGAGTTCAGAGTGGCCTCCAGGTAGAGCTGCCTTGGTTTCGGGGTGGGGGGGGATTATCACCCCCTTCCAGGGCCTGCTTCCTGATCAGCCCTCCCTAAAGATGTCCTCCGGTGGCCCTGGTCACATGCAGGAGCACCATCCCCTGCAGCTTGTGTGTGTCCTGCCCCTGCCTTTCCCACCAAATTAGAAAAAAGGCCAGCCCCCACCTGCCCCGCTTTCTGTGGCTCAGGCTTGTCAGTCCTGCTCCATTTCTCTGTGCTGTTGTTTTGTCTGAAGGGTGCTCACCAGGCAACCATTATAGGTGGTCCTACCTTTTGTGGAATCTAGCTACTTTGTCTATTTTAAGAAAACACCTGTTCTTAACCATCCGGGACTGGTCTCTGGGGAGCGGGGCACCGGGACCGCTGAAAACAGGAGTGTCTTCCCAGGACCAGTTGCTACGACCAGCAGACTGGGAAAATCTGATGGACGCGTGTAATTCTTCCCTCAATTGCAGAACAGAAATAAGTGACACGCCCTGAGTGCCAACGAATGCTCAGTTCCGCCCCAACTGAGAGAATTCTTCCCATACCTCCAGGTACCCTCCCCAGAATGGTGCTCTGGGGGATGATCTCAACAAACTCAAGTCATTTCAGTTTAATGGTATCAATTTCTTAAGCTCATAGAGTCCACAGTACGAAGAGGGTGTTGGCCCCACATTTTCCCACCACCCTTCCTTTGGCTCCCTCCCTAGGTCCATTCTCGACCCTCTGCCTTGGAAACAAGGTTGGTCCTCACTGGGTGTTCCTCCATCCTTCCTTTACGGGTGTGGCTGGGGAGAAGTGAGCCTGCCTACGTAGGAAAGGTGCCTTCCTGAGGGGCATGGCTCCATAAAGCTCCTTCCCTAACCAGCCTGTCCCACAAGATGCTGTTGTCGTCTGGGAAGATCTCTGGTTCTTCCACTTCTGGTGATGCAAGTGGTGGTGGTGGGGGGGGGAGATCAGGAGATAAGCCTGCTTCTCAGGCCACAAGACCCGGTTTGGGATGGATGGAGCAGAGGAGGAAGCAAGGGGTAGGAGTCAGGCCGAGATGACTTTTTGCTCACCGGGGGCTCCAGGTCTGCTTTGCTCTTATTTTGTTTTGCTTTCATTTGTTCTCACAATCCCGGAAGGAGAACTGTCCTGGTGGCGAGGCAAGGTGGTCCCCCAGCTGCAGAGAATACAGGCCAAGACTGACACTCCTCAGTGGGGTGGTTTTGATTCTCCTCTTGGCCGTCTCCTGTCTCAGGTACACTTCATGAGGAGCCTGCAGGGAAGTTGAAGGAGAATGGAGTTACCCTCCTTAATCTCACCTCTCCAACCCCAGGGGTTCCCTCTTGGCTCCTCCCCAGAATCCCTCCATCAAGAGTATGGCAGACAGGCACTTACTGCCGGCCTTGGGCTCAGGACGGCTGAGCTGACTTCTTCCGGAAGAGATCCGAGAGTCGGGGGGCCAGGGAGGCAGCCCCCTTCCCAGCCGCTGGCTGTGGTTGTTCTCCATGTCCTCCAACCAGTCTGACCTCCACTCCCACAGGGGCAGGGAGAGGGTGGAGGTCAGGAAGAGGTCATCCCGGGGGGAGGGAGGTGAGGAGGCATCTGTCAGGGAGGGTAGATTTGTTTGTGGAGGGCTGGCCTTCACTCTGAGGGACCAATTTAGGGCAGAACACTTAGGACCTGCTTAAGGCATACATCCAACCCAGAAGATAACCTAGCCCCAACTCGGCCCATCAATTCTGGGGGCCACTGGAATGAGTCCATTGGTTTCTTAGGGAGAATAGCTTGAACTGTTTCCTCCTAGCCCACCTCTGGCCTTCTTTTTATTTTTTTATTTATTTATTTTGAGAGAGACAGGCAGTGTGAGTGGGGGGAGGGGCAGAGGGAGAGGGAGACAGAATCCCAAGCAGGCTCCACACTGTTGGTGTGGAAACCATGAGATCACGACCAGAGCCAAAACCAAGAGTCAGACACTTAACTGACTGAACCACCCAGGTGCCCCCCAGCTCTGGCCCTCTATCCATACTCTTTCCCTTCACCCTTCCTCTCCCCGGGCACCTTTCTTCTCCCTCTGTTGTGGGCACTTCTACCCTGGATAATCCTTGCTTTCTCGTTTACTACAAGCCGGTTGTTTTTATTGGGGTTCATAAAATGGCGATAGGGGATCTGACAGAGTGTATGAGGAAGGGGCACGGGGAGCCCTGAGCTACCTTCTGTTGCCTTGGAGATAATGGTCCCACTCTGGTAGACATGTGAAGGAGTGAGCCCATCTTCTCTTTACCCCAGCCACAGACAGGACAAGAGGAGGGCTTGCAAGCACAGTGGGAAATAAGAGAGAAAACAGAAGTTCCCATCATGAGGAGAATCTGGAACAGGGGGTTGGAGTAAATAGTAAATAGAAGAGGTGGGGAGCAATCTTTCCTGGTGATCGGTGTCTGGGTAAGACGAGGGACCTGGGGGGAGGGCAATACAACTGGCTGCCTCTGGGCTTTAGACTTGAACATTTTGTCCTTGTTCTTGTGGGCAACCTTGGGCAAGTTAAAAAACCTGTTTGACTTACAGTTCCCTCATTTGGAAGAGAAAGATAAAGAATATTTTTCATAGAGTTTTAATATTGAATGTATATAAAGCACTTATCACAGGGCCTGGGGCATAGTAATCATTCAATAAAAGCTGGCTGTTTTAAGGATAACCACAAAGACAATGATTGGGGGCGCCTGGGTGGCTCAGTCGGTTTAGCGTCCACCTCTTAATTTTGGCTCAAGTCATGGTCTCACAGTCGTTAGATCGAGCCCCACATCAGGCTCTGTGCTGACAGCACTGAGCCTGCTTGGACTTCTTTCTCTCCCTTTCTCTCTGCCCCTCCCCCTGCTCACGAGGGCTCTCTCTCTCTCTCTCTCTCTCTCAAAATAAGGAAACAAACT